TTTATAATAGTTGTTGAGGCCGTGCCGTGGTCTCTTCACAGCAATAAAATCTTGACTAAGACACAGCTCTTCCAAACACTGAAAATAAAATTACCGTGTGATCCATCAACTCACTTCTGGATATACATTCAAAAGAATTGGAAGCAGGGTCTTAAAGAAATATTTATAAACCCATGTTTATAGCCCCATGACTTATAAGAACTAAAATTTGGAAGTAACCCAAGTGCCCATCAAGAGAAGAATGCTTAGTGAACAGTGGCATGTATACATGCTATTTAGCCTTGAGAAGGATTGGAATACTGGCACGTGGGGAGCTACAAGGATGAATTTTGAAGAAATTACTAGAGATGAAACCCTGAGTGGTTACATTTATATGAAGTCTAAACAGGGTTGGAGAGACAGCTCCATCAGTAAAGTCCCTGCTGTGCAAGCATGAGGGTGTGAGTTCGGATCCCTACACCCCACGTCTGTCATCGCTGCACTCAGCGAGAGGGGAGGACTCATGCAGCTCCCAGAAGCCAGTTTATCCAAGTTAATAAGATTCTGGTTCTGTGAGTGACCTGTCTCAATTAGTAAGACAGAGAGCAATCAAGGGGAGACAACCAACCTCTATCTTTGGCCTCCACATGCAAGCGCACATGTGGTCACACACACACACACACACAGCAGAATAATCAAACTTCAATGTCAGGAAGCAGAATGATGGGGTAAAACAGAAACTGAAGCGATATCACCCAATGGGTAGATAATTTGCCTCACAAGATCAGTGAAGTTATTGAGGGCAGTGGTGATGGTTTCCCTCTACGACTGTGTTTAGCATCATTGGCTGCACACCGACAAATGATTAGGATAGCAAGTTCAATCAGTTGTGCTTTATCATAGTTTAAAAGCCTGGGAAAGAAGAAACCATGCAGTTTGATAGATGGGCATTGAAACTAAGATGTTAGTGTGAACAGCTGTGGTAAGTCAGGAGGGTGCGGGCTCTCCCAGGGCTCACCCCAGGCCAGGAGGAAGACTGGAAATTTGAACTGAGCTCTCGGATGTGTGCTCCTGTCCATTGTAGAATTGTACTTCCTGGAATCGGATTGAAAAGTCTCAACTTTTAAACCCTCTCTTTCTCCTTTAGATCTTGGCTTTTGGCTGAGTTTCACACCTGTGCTCTCCAGAGGCCCACCGCCTCTAGAGAAGAGGCTTCCTCACAGCTTCTGGCTGCCTGGCTCCTGGGGTTGCCTCTTCTGACAACCCACAGGTTCCTGGTTCCTTTGATGGTCTAAGAAGGAGCAAAAGCTGGAGGAAAGACAGCTATGCAGTCTCAGAGCAGCTGAGACAAGTCCAGTTCAGCACGAGGACCTCATGTTGGTGGGAGTGAGTCACTGGGGGTTAGTTAGTGGCATCAAGTTCCACCCTCCAACCTCTGATTTTAAGATTCTGTGTCATATTCAAAGTGAGAACTTTGATGCATTTGGCAGTTCACTGATTAACTACATACAACTGTAGGTGGCTGATTAATTGCCTCTAATTGGTAATATTGGAACTTTGGAGTAATCAGACTTCCATCAATGCCTTATTTTGGTATCACGCGGATGGCCTTGGAAACTCTGGTTACAAAGCAGAATGATGGGGTAAAACAGAAACTGAAGCGATATCACCCAATGGGTAGATAATTTGCCTCACAAGATCAGTGAAGTTATTGAGGGCAGTGGTGATGGTTTCCCTCTACCCTACATAATTCTGTTACTCCGTTGCTGACTTCTCATATCCAGTCTTCATTCGTCAAGCTAGTCAAGTAGAGCCACTTCCTCAAGTGTCAGCACTAGATCCCAAAACATCTCTCAGAGATAAGAAGTTGTCATGGCGAACCACAACAAACCAAAGGTGACAGATCATGGGACTTGGTTACTGTACGTACTGGGGGACACACAGCCTTCAGTCTTTGCTTTCTCTGCACACAGATTTTCAACACCACGTCCTGGGCTGTCTCAAAAGCACTTTGCTTTTTTGCTTTGCATCTCCTCAAGCAAATGGCATTCAACCACACCGTGTGGCTCCTACTTAAAACACAACAATATTTGGCTGGATTTATTTGTTAATACCTGTACTTGTTGAAGCATGTTTACAAGAGTTCTGGAGTTCTTTGTTTTATGCCTCCTCAGAAAATAAGGCATCCTGTAGTTGTTTTCCCCCTCCTTGTTCTTTGGTGCTTACCACCCAGCTTCCAAATAATCACAGAGATTATTATTCTTGCTTATGAATGCCCAGCCTTAGCTTGGCTTGTTTCTAATGAGTTTTTTTTTTCTTAACTTAAATTACCCCAGCTTCCTTTTGCTTCTGGGATTTTTCATTTCTCCATTCTGTATACGGTTCTTTACTTCTTACTCCATGGCTGGCTGTGTAGCTGGGAGAATGTCCTCCTCTCCTCTTTGCCCTCCTCCTCTTCTCTTTTTCTCCTTCTATTTATTCTCTCTGCCTGCCAACCCCACCTGTCCTTTCTCCTGCCTTGCTATTGACTGTTCGGCTCTTTATTAAACCAATAAAGTGTTTCAGGTAGGCCAATTAACGCAGCCTCACAGAGCTAAACAAATGCCACATACAAGAATGCAGCACACGTTGCATCTCTAGACAGAGGTCCACAGCATAAACACATCTTCCACTAATATTCCACAACAGGGTCTGGCAGCTGTCTGGGTAAAGCTTCAATGAAACATTCCGTTTGCATGACACTGAGTCCTCAGCTGCTGGGAAATCTAGTGTTAGGATAAGACTTCTGCTGATTGCCAAGGTAACCACATAAGTTATGCTTATTATTGGTGTTGTTGTGTAGTCCCCAAAGGAAGAATGATAAATATGAATTTAAAATACACAAAAAGGGGGGGATCTGAAAGTCTCTGTATCTCTGGCGTGAATGTACTGTTAAGATATTTTCAATTTCCAAGTATTTAAAAACCAGAAATGATTTGATTTCAGGAAAACTGTTATGCTATTAGAAAATATTCTCCGTGCCTACAAATATTCTATAAAAGTTGACTTTGGTAACTGTTGATTTGCATCTAACAAATCTGAATTCACTTAGCTGACTGCTAAAATGGGGCTGGGTAGGCGCAAATGTAATGGGAGTTGCTTTAAGGAGGGGTCCTGGGCTGTGCCCTTGCGTTCAAAAAGAGAAGAGACATGGAGGATTTAAGTTGAAGACCGTACCAGGAGACCTGGGGTTAGATGGGGTCGGTGACCTGGACTGGTGGGAAAATGGAGGGACCTTGGGTCTCTCTTTAAACTCAGTCGTAGCAAGGAACTCACAATGTGACCAGTGTGCCTGGTGCATTCCTTTGAGGATTTAGAACAAGCCTGCCAGAAGGGGGCAAAGCTGCCATCGCTCCCAAGAGTCTGCATTGGCTTAAGGACTCACATTTGCCCCAAGGGACCTTGAAAAGGGGGCACTGCACTTTTGAGGCAGAACATGCACTCTGGGAGCTTTTCAGCTGCCCCAAGGTGACCTTGTGGGGAGAACGTGGCGAGGGAAAATGGAGACCTACAGGCTCTATCCCAGGTGCCTTGATGGTATCTCTGCCACATCTTCGAGAGGTCCCCTCAAAACTGAATCAGCCCACGATTTAAGAGCAAGAGTAACAGTCATCTTCTAAAGAGCTTCCTGGGTGTGGTTTGTTACACTGCAATGGTAGCAATAATGAGGTAATCTTAGAGGCAAGATTTGGACATCAGTAAGCAAGAATCAGGGCTGGTCCTTGCAGGCGTCAACAATCACAGGCCTGCAAGTTTCCAAAGAATTCACTAAGGAGGCAGAGGTTTGGACAGACGACCCGAGAGACCCTGACAAGCTGTGAGGAACTCCTGTGGTTTGTGGTGTGGTGATCCAGCAGGAGATTCCAAGAGCCCTATCTGCAGGTCCCCTGAAGAAGAGCCCCTTGAGGAGTGAGCAGGCGAACCTCTTCCACCCCTGTAACCTTCTCAGCCATTACGTACGGGCTGCCAGATTCCACAAATAAAAACGTGCAATTAAATCTGAACTTGAGGTAAACTCTGAAGACTTTTAGAATAAGTACGCCTTGTACAATAGTTGAGAAATGTTTATAGTAAAATCGTATTATTTATCTTGGGTTGACGTTTTACTAACCAGCCTGAGGACTGATGACTGACCTCACACTGCGTCAAGAGGGGGCCCTCGGAGCTAGACTGCTATGCTTTGAAGCCAGGTCGCAACCGCACATGCTTTGCAATTGTATTTTTGCAAAAACTAAAAAAAAAAAAAAGGAAAGAATAAAACATATGACGATTGCAGCAAAAAAAACATAACAGAAGCCGGTCCCTCGTAAATATTATGTTAATTAAAACAGATGGCGCATAAACAAAATAACTTCGGGGGCTGGTTTCTGTTCCGCCTGGATTTCTTAATATAGTAACTCAGTTCCCATCCTGTTAGCGCCCTTTCCTTATCAAACACTGAACCGGGTGTAAGGAAGTTTAAATTCCCAGGGATTGGAGCGTGTTCTCTAAACAATTGGAACAGATGGTCTCTTGCCTAAAAAGCATGCTTCCTTTCGGGGAATAGAGGGTTGAACTTGGCTGTATCAGGAAAACGTCTTCTGGCTTACTTTTAGACATCAGGTTTCCATGCTTCCCCATCTCATCCCATCCTTCCAGTGAGTTTGCCCACAGGGCAGAGATCCCACGTGCATAGTTACACGTCACAGTAAACAAAGAGACCCTAGTCCCGCCTCCCGCACAGCTTCTCACCACTTCGGAGAAAGTGAGGTCGCATTAGAGATTTGTAAAGATAAACGTCCATTTGAGAGGGTGTAATTGATAAAGTCGGACATATCACCAAGTAGCAGAGAATTAACAACAACAAAATGTCCTTTCTGCCCCTTCAGAAAGTTCTGGGTTCCACTCCAGCAGCACGCGTGGTGGGGCCAGAGCGCTTTAATCTCTTCTAAGCCCTCTCAGTGCCTCAGTCCTGGTTTGCCTTTCCTTTTTTTTTTTTTTTAAACTTTTATCTTTAAACAGAATGTCTGTTTTGCATAATGTTCTTCACATGGATCGTCTGATATTTCCTCATAATTAATCAGGTTGTTATACGTTTAGGCAAAGATTCTAATTAGAAGTTAGGCTTGCCGAAAACATCCTGGGCCATCAAGGAAAGCAGCCAGCATCCTGCATGTGAAATGGCCCTGCCAAGTCTTTCCTGATGCATGCCACAGCCCTGTTTATGCCTCCACTCAGAAAACCTTCACCTCGGCTAAGTGGTCTAAACTGTTGTCAGACTCGCAGAATCTCATTCCAAAGTAAAAGCGGACTGTGTGCCCATGCATCTCCCAGCTTTCTCGGGGTGGATGAGATACTGGAGCTCTGTGTGGACGGACTGAGGAAGGACAAGAGAAGCAGGAGCCATTTCTTTAAGCTGACAGTTGAGGAGAGAGAGTCCAAGATAATCACATAATCCATTTATAACCGCCAAGTTAACAAGCTCTCACCTCCAAATATACCCCTCATTTACAAAGAGCCACTTCAGTGCAAAAGTAGGCCCTTGTCCATGTGACCAGAGTCACATGCTGGGGTCCCGCGTCTTAGTCTCTCTACAACGCCAAGATCAGTTCATACAAGCTCTTTCTTAGAATTGTAAAGTGTTAAATACACACACACACACACACACACACACACACACACACGTGTGCATATAGCCCCGAACATAACTGTCTCACACTTCATTATAAACTTCCTCCTAAAATTATTTGCCTCTTTGTTCAGCTCAGTGCATCCCAGTTGCCTCAGTAAAAGAAAAAGAAAAAGACACCCAGAATGAAGTAGCCAATCACAGAGACCTTGCCCAGGTCAGGTCACATGTGGAGTAAAGCTCCAGGCCTCGTGCCATGAGCGGTATCTATAAACGGCATTATTTACTGAAGAATGGATAGGTTGCTAAAGGATTCAAAGCTGTGTCATGAGAATGGCTTCCCCAACCCCTTAGTCCAGGCCTGGCCAGTGTCCTTGAGGAGGACTCTGCTCTCTCTCCTCTCCGGGACTGAACTCTGCCTCCCCAAGCAAGTGCTCCCTGTCACTCATGCCAGCCAGGGTGTTGAGCCCACTCAAGAGAGGCAGAAGGTCTTTCGGGAGGAACTGTCTCCTCCGGTTCTCCCACAGGCCGTCTCCCTGCCCTTGCAGCCCTGCATGCTATGAGATGAACTTCCTCCCAGAGCAGGCCCCGTCCCTCCTCCTGTCCTATGCATAGCAGGGAGCCACATGTCTCACATGTCCAGATGTTTGCTGTGCATCTCCTGGGGCTCTAAAGATCCTCTGTGCTTTCCTAGTGACTTTCCCACATAGTCACCCAAACTATCTGCTAAACCGAACACAGGAGAGGTCCCTAAGAAGTCAGGATACCCTATTTTGATGTCTTTCTAGAGAGTAGGACCCATTAGGCCGCTTTAAGCATGCCCCTTTAAACTTGGGGTCATGTGACGTTCAGTACTAGAGAGCAATCAAATGTAACTTGAATACTTTCCAAAGTGATTGTTCTTTAATATAATACAATCAGGATTCAAAGACACAATTTCCAGTTATTAGCAAAGAGGAGCCAATTCATTTTCCTTCCCTGTTGCTAGTGTTCCTGGGGTTTACAAAAATCATATAAGATGAGAAGAATATATAAAAGCAGAAGCTCAGTGCAGCTTTTTTTTACTGTCTCTTTAAGTCATTTTCTGCTGATTAAGCAGGAAGTTTGATTCCACCTGATAGTATTGTGATGTGGAAATATGAACAGAGGAAAGTAGGAAAGAGGGAGAGATTGCACATTCGAAACAATGAACTGCCGAAGATTATTGTCAAAATAACTTTTCCATTTTATTTAACACGATGACTCTAATGTACACATTTGTTTAATGAACAGAGTGTAAGTTATCTATATCTGTCTTCCTTTTGGGCTAACTTCTAGAAGATCTGACATGAATGATGAACTTGCTTTACTGAAGAACATGGCTGTGCTTAGCTGATTTGGCATGCTCAGGCATCAGCTAATTTCCTGGATGCCTCTGAACCTGCAGGGTAAGAGCTAGCATCACCACCCCACCACAATTAGGGGCTCACAAACACCGGTGTGCATTGTGATAGAAATGAACAGGTTGCCACAAATGATCGTCTCCATGCGGTGTTTTTGTGTAGCTATGCTCCTGTGTGTGGAAATGTTCTCCTAGTGTGTGTGGTACAGGGGTTGCTCTCCCCTTTCACGAAATGTGTAGAATCAGATGTCTTTGGAAACAAGAAAACACACACAGAAACCAGTGTTCCTTTTCCTCCACATATGAACTCGTGGAGGGATTAGTGGGACGGAGTCGGCAGATGCAGAGAGGGGCTCACAGTCTGCCCACAAGACACAAACATGCAAAGCTATGGCCGGATCCCTAAAAATACCAGCTTGATGCCGAAAGCAGAGGCAGACATATGTGTGTGTATTCTAGTCGAGCTACACCCCCAGCAAGAGTACACCGTGGACTGCAGAGGAGGCTATTCTGTCCAAGAGGGAGTCACACACATAAAAATAAAATATTTCATACTCTACAATATATTACAAAAATAAATATATTAATCAATAAATAGTAAGAAGCCTAAAAACTTTGACACGGCCATGCTGGTGGCAGGCTGCCCGAGTGCCCTGCTAGCGTTTCCCTCAAGAGTTGTTAGGTTTATCAGCTTTTGCCATCAAAGCATAAGAAATAAAAATAAAGCAAGTCTGGTTTGGGCTGGCCATGGTAGAAGATTCGTCATCACAGAAATGTATCTCTAAGTTTTAATTTCCTGAGGACCCATCCATTCTGTGGCTTCAGGGTAAGGCAGTGAATGAGACGGGCTGCAGGCAGCTCCCAGGAGAAGGGAGAAGAATGCTTCTATTTATGGCTTTTGTCATTGCACTTTTGATAAGGCAGCAAAAATCATAACAATAATGCAAACAGCCACACTTGAATATCCGCCATGTGACTATCTGCACGCCTTGCTACAGGAGGACCACCATGCAAAGCCCCAGCTGTGTCTGCACTCCAGTCAGTGGGGCAGCCTGTGGGATACGCAGACAGCATCAACTGTCACCTCTCTTCAACAGCTCAGCTCAGTCTCTTCAGGAGCTGACTGGGCGAGCAGCCGTGGGCATGGCGGATACAAGAGCTGACACCTCTGATATCAGATGTTAATGTCAGTGGAGTTCTGTGGCCAGAAAGCCTGCCCTTCCACAGATCGGGCTGTCATGTTTTCCTTGAGTTTCCGAGTCATTCAGCATCACGTGACACATCTAAACTATGGAAATTACAAGGCTGAGCTTCTGCCTGCCCTGGGCTGGTTGTGGAGCCGTGACTAGAACTTAGAAGAAACTATTCCTGCCAAGCTGAGATTTTATTATATGTCTATTACACTGTCCTTGAGAAAGAAGGACCGGCAGTACCGTGGAGTTTGAGTATGTGTGGTGTACCATAGAGAATGAAGGCTGTACCATTTCCTCAAGGGATGCTGGCATGGCTAGCCAATCCAGCTGCCACGTATACAGACTTATGCGTGTGCTCAGACACACTCTGTAAGAAAGAGGCTAACACGTATACTTCTTAGTTGAACATCCATCTCAGCCACCACAATGTCCCTCACTGTGTTCCCACTTATGACCAAAATATTCCTCTTCCAGGGCAACAACCTCTCTGAGATTTGCTTTTTGACCGACTAGATATATGGGGTTGAAATTCGAATTCACAGAACAATCTGAATGTAGAATTCTAAGAAGCTTATGGAAAGGAAGCTGAGAATGGCCCGAAATTAATATCTATAACCCATAGGGTAGAGGTGGGCGATGTACTGGAAGCCATATTTCTGTTTCCCTTGTGGATCATTGTGTCACCTGTCTGCTGATGTTGGGGTGACTGCACCTGCCTGCTCGAGCTCCTCCTTTACAGACTCTAGGACCCTAGCAGGAAGCGGTAGGACCAGAGCCAGAGTCTCCGTGTCCTTTCAGCTCTCCGGAGTATGGACAATGATTTCAAACCAGAAGGAGGGCAGAGAGTGCTACAGACTTTCTTCTAAGGCATCAGATTTTAAGCTCAACATTTGAGTCGCCGGCTTCACGGAAAACACAGCAGAAAGGATACAGCTACAATCAAATCAAGTGACATTTCCAGAAGTCTAGAACTCAGATCCCTGGCTGAGTGAAAGTATTTTCAGGTGCCTCCTCCCAGCCCATGCCGTGGGTGGTGAAGAGAGAGAAACACAGGAAAACAAGAGACAGGGTGGGCGGGAAGTTAAACAAAGGGAAGAAGATGGAAGAAAAAGGAGAGGGGGCCAGCAAGAGAGGGACATCGCGAAATGAAGATGTTTTCAGTAGAGCTCACAAAATAGCTCCCTTCTGAGAGTTCTCTTAGCCTTGGCTCATTTTATTTTGTCCAAAAAAGATTTAGTTATCCCAATTAGAATTTTGGGGATTTTTACCACCACATCTGAGGACATCTGTGCCCTTCTCCTTTTGTCCCTCCTCCACCTCCGTGGCCCTCTACAGCTGTAAAGGCTGGCATAGGTAGCCTTGCCTCCTGTTGACTGGAGGGGAGTCAGTCCAGAAGTCCCTCACCCCCAGCCTTCTTGCCTAGGCCCTGGCCTCTGGAGAGCACAGCCCAGGGGCCCATTTTTCACAAGTGCATTTCCTGGACCATCGCCTGTCAAGGACATTTGTTCTGTGTATCTGACAACCCCACCCACCTCTTGAGCTTGCGGAAGACTGCTTCTCAAGTCTGCTGCCCGGAGCCATGGCAGCTACAACAGAAAAGAACTGCATTCACCCTCCCAGAACAGTTGGAAATTATGCTTCCCTAGACGGCTAAACTCCCGTCTAAGGAACTCTCTTACCCTAAATCCCATATCCAATAATACAGACACTCTGGAGGAAGCCCCTCACATGTGTGAGCCTCGTCTGCCTTTGTTGAACAGAAAGGTTTTCATAAGTCCATGCACACGTGCACAAACATGCACAAATATCTGTGTGCTGACACCGTTTCCCTTTAGGGGCCGTTCTTTCCAAACTGACATTGAGGAGAAGTGGTACGGGCCTGCATTTGGTTGTTAGAGATGGTGTCACTGGGAATGAGAGTCCAGAGAAGATAAACGGAAGGGACTGGATGGTAGAGCAAAATACACATTTTCTACAGCACACTGACCTGTCCACTTCCCTAAGGTGGCAACCTCTGTTATCTGTACACCTTCATTAAATAGTTTCATTAAATAGAACACAAAATATACACATCTACAGTTATTAAATTAGCCACGAGATTCCTCTTCTATCTACAGCCGCATTCAGACACGGCCATTCCTTCATATTTAAATTTGTAGGTGACGACACCTTTATCTAGGTAGAGGATGGAGATGGGATCCAGCTTTGTGGGCACGCAGCAGGCTTTGGACGCTTTCTGGGAATTCTTGAGGTGGACTAAAGCCTGGATAATCGCATGTTTTGTGGGTGTGAGGTGCTCGGCCAAAGGGTAGTTACAGACGCCACGGCACTCATAGGCTTCTTACCCAGGCGGCGCGATGATCCAAGAGTCCCAGCCAATCTCCTTGAAGTCGATGTAGAGTGAGGTCTTCTTGCAGTAGTTGCCCTTGGCGTTCCTTCTGATGCGAGCAGTAGAGTCATCGATCATGTTTGACCTCATCTGCAGCAAGGCCGCTTCGTCAGGTCCCCTGGAGAAGCCATCCGTGTCCAGGTCCAGATCCTGCTCTTGAGAGATCATCTCATCCAGCTCGTCTTTCTTCTCCCTGTCATTGCTTTGGTCATCGGAAAAAACAACGAGCAAAGGGTCGTGCTTATTCTGGGCACTGATGTCTATTTCTAGTTGTCCCCTTCCAGTGTCCTCAGCTTGGTTTTGTCTGCTCTCGATGTGGATCTCCAGCTGGTGGGTAGATGGGCCCGACTTTTGCCAACGCCTGGCGGCATCTGTGACATCGAACACCTCCCACTCACTGTTGATCCCGTAGATCTCTGTTGACACCAAGACCAGCATGCTCCTGTCATCCTCATTCCCGTCAACACCCTCGAGTACTTCAAAAATGGTGATCTTACGGTCCACGCCATCATACATCATACGATCTCTTTGCACCAGTGTGTATAACCTGAGTTCAGCCATGATGACCTCTTCGTGGTGCGGGATGGACACGTTGAAGAGGAGAGGGTATTTCCGAAGCCCATTGACGCTGACAGGCTGAGAAAACAGACCTAAAAAGGAAAAACATGTATGAGAAATCAGACTCACCGGGTACACTGCATAATAAAACAGGTGCCTAACTGGGTAGTGCCCAGACTGAGCTGCCTCACGGGGACAGAGCTGGAAAGAACCTTGGTGCTGCAGACAAGCCCTCGCTTTGTCTGACCAGTAATGAGCCCTGCAAGATTTCGTGGAGATTGTTCTGAACTAGCTCATAACTACAGACTTCAAAGCTTCTGTTTGTAATGGGCAGTGGTCTCCATGTGGTTTGCTGGCCATGGGTCTTCACAGAAGGTCTCCACAGATCAGGGTTTTTACACCCACAGGCCACACTGGGACTGTCACGTGCTTTTTGAAAACAAAGCTTCACCAGAGCACAGCCCGTCTCGGGGATTGCTCTGCTGGCTCTGGCTAATTTTGCCCTGCAGAGGCGAAATTAGATATGGGCTATCTGGTCTTTGAGAGGAAGTTTGCTGACCCTGTCCCTACCCTACGTAACAAGGTTCAACAAGGTCAGCAGAACCTTGCTAAACTGGTCCTGGAGTCTGTGGTCCTTTCTGAGTGAGTGAGAGAGGATGCGCCTGGTGGGGCAGAGGTGGCGCGGGGGGGGGGGGGGGGGGGGGGGGGATAGATGGCCTGCCTTAGTGCTATTCACTAGCAGTCAGCATGGAGTTGGACATGCACAAACCTCCTGAGATCTGTATGAAACAGTTTGTTAGAGGTCCTTTAGTGTCAGAAGCATGTCTCCAAACGCTTTCATACTGTTTGTGTGTTCATTTGTTGACAAGGTCTTGTGTGGCCCTGGTTGGCTGTAACTCACTGTGTAGAGCAGGCTGGCCTATAACTTGCTGTGTAGAGCAGGCTGGCCTGTAGCTCGCTGTGTAGAGCAGGCTAACCTGTAGCTCGCTGTGTAGAGCAGGCTTGTCTGTAGCTCGCAGTAGTCCTCTCTCCTTTGTTTTCTGACACTGTAGGCATGTGTCACTATGCCATGCCTGATATTATCTTTCTGGGTGAGAATTTCGCAGAGATCCAAGAGCTCCTGTGTGCCTACCTCGGATAATTTGTCTCTACAAGGACTGAGACACTTGACGTCAGATTATCTAAGAACTGTGACACCAAGATGCCAGGGACCTGCAACCGAGGGTCCTCTATTGTCCTTGGCAACCATTCCTGGACTCATGACCTCAGGGGATTCTCTGACCCACACTATGCTCAGCATCCTTCTTCAGTGGATGGCTTCATATTTATTCTCTAAAGGCTTGAAGGTTTGCCCTTAAGCTGATAATTGTATGGACTTTTTAAATTTACATAAATAAAACACGTAGTTACTTCACAGATTTCATGGGTGCTAACTAAAATTATCTTCACAGGGGCAGTGGGGACACTGACACAGTGGCAGTGGGATGACCCTGAAGTCACTGGTGTGGCCAGAGCAACTGTAGCCAGGGCTTACATCCTGATCAAGCTTTGCCTACTGTTCATTCACTACAGCACACAGGAGGCTGCGGTTGCCCAGTGGGTATTTTTGACCAGCTGAATGAATAACCTATTTGGATAGTAGCTTTCCTGCTTGAAGAAACAAAATCAAAAGCTACACTCCCTCCTCTGTATTCTGCACCATGGAGGACGTTCTTCTGATTCCTGGAAAGGAAGAGCTCTTGCCTCACTTCCACATCCCCACCTTTGGCCTCCACCTTGAGCCCTTGGCTCTCTTTCTCTCTCTCAGAGTTTATCCGACTAGGAGTCACCTATGCACTTGCTGTTAGGAAACCCAAAAATGGGAGCGCAGGTGCACTGCTCCTCCAGGAGAGAAGGGCAGAGAAAATGTTCTCTGGATGGAAGAGGCTTTGGGGGTTGGGCATGCTCACCTTCTTGACTGAGGTGGGGGCTTCAGTGGATGTGTAACTTGTGAACACTTAGATTATGTACATTAAATGCATGCAGTTTTCTATATATCAACTTAAGTCAATAAAGACGTGCTTTTAAACATTAAGCTTACATTCAAGAGGTTGAGACAGGAGGATTGTGAGTTTGAGCCCAACCTGGGCTACATAGTAAAACCTTGTCTCAAAAGAAACTAATAGTTCACAATTTTTTTTTAAATTTAAATGTGAGTATTACAACGCCAACCTGGGCTACAATGGTAAGTTCAAGACCAGCTTAAAACAAAACAAAACAAAAAAAAAACAACAAAAACACAAACACAAAACCAAGCCTTAACTAAATGAAACCACCCACAATCCTTTGCATAGGTGGCAAGAGATCCTTGGAGGAGTCACAATCCTCGGAGGAGGGGATTGGGTCTCTGACAGATCTCACACACCACTTGCTCCGGAAATTGTGTGCCTGTCACGGTGATGCCCACAGTGCACACACGGATCTGACGCTGGTTTTGCACCAGAAGAAATCAAAGTACCACGTCTGGATAGCTTTGACTTCCTAGGCAGTACAGAGGATGGAGCTAAGCTGAAACCTCAGCCTGCAGTTTCCACCAGAAATGTGTTAGTGAACAGAAATGGCAGTGATCAGTGGAATTGTAAAAGCAAACACTCTTTTGGTGTCTGAGGAATACCCACCCAGTGTTTATTCCTGTGCCTAGTATATTAAGTAATGCATTAAAAGTCATTTTGGTTTGTCCAGAACTTCCTAACAATGAGCCCCCTCTTGCCTCTAGCCGCTTGTGAGTCACTCATTTGTGTCCCGAGGCTTCCATTTTACAGGAGGAAGTTGGGGGTCTCATCATTAGTTAGTCACAACTTCCCAAGGCAGCTAGCTCTCCGCATGCTGAGCTGCTTGGTGCCACTGCCTTCTGCTTTGAGAGCATCTGGCAAACACTGACCAAACCTCGTGTTCACTCAACTGATGTCTATAAAAGCACAATTGGTAAATAACACAGAGCCAGTTTCTCTATGTCCACAGCTCCTACTATCAATATCGTATTTTTTCTACCTGTGCCATATAAACACAGGGTTAGCTCGCTGACTCCTTTAAAAGATCTGAGGGGAAGGAACAACAATTTGAAATTTGTATATCGCTCCTTATGAAGTTACGGTCACCATAAGCTGGACGGTGAGCTGGCCTCTTCACACTTCCAGGGGTCTTATCACGGCTTATTAAATATGACACAGCATTAGAAGAGCCTCCCAAATACAGATCCATTCTATCAGAACACTGCTGAAATGGAGTCACAATTGGAAACTCACCCAGAATTTGAATGAACCACAAATCCCAAATTTCTAATTTATTTTGATTGTTTTCACCATTTTTGATCTAAGGAAAAGCTGACAGATTTTTATCAACCCCAGATAGAAATCAAGTCCTGTCTAGAAAGCGGCAGACAAGATAGAAAAACAGATCAACATTTATGTGCTTTTTTGATCCTTGGTGTCCAAATTAAAACGCTATCAAGAAACTGTTCTGATGCTAGAATGATGGGCATTTTGTGTTTTTTCCTTAATGGACATTTTATAGCATTTTTGGAATTTTGGACCAGGAGAACAGCTGATACACTGGCCTGAGCCATGCATTTCTGTGAATCCATCCTCTCCCGCATCATCCCCACATGGACGTTTACTGATTTCTTCTTGAAATAAAGGAAAGCCAAAGCCTCATAAGAGCAAACATAAGCCAGCCTACCTTCATTCTGGAAACTCCGAATGATGTTAGCAGACGGCATGGAGGTCCGGTCCGTGGCGAACTTGTTGTAGAGTTCCAGCATGTACTCGGGTGGATCCACTTTGGCAGTGTCCTGCAGGGGAATGTCGGACAGGTTCAACGTCTTGAGAAACTCATCCTTCATACTCTGCAGCAGTGTGTTGAAGTCAATGCCATCTTGCTCTGTGAAGACATCGTCAAAGAAGGGCATGTCTTCTTCCAGGGGTGACTGCTCAAGGCCCATGATGGGGCTGCCAGAAACTGAGTGAGCCACCAGGCAGAAGACGGCGCTTAGCGGCAGGACCAGAGAACCCATGGTTCTGCTCAGTTCCCCAGGACAACCTAGGAAGGCTGAACTCCCCCTGTGCTCTAAGTGGCAGTTTTATCTTGCCGAGCGAGTGTAAATGTCTTATGTCACTGGACACGACACGACACAAGTATGGAAACTCTTCCTCCCTCTTCCCCTCCCCCTGCGCTACTCCCCACCCCCGCCAAAAGTCAGGTTGCAGTAATTGGAATGCAAAATCCCCTATAGGGCCTAGCCTCCGCTTATCTCCTCAGCGTAAACTTGTACACCAGATTTCATTTTTATCTTGCAACCCCTTCTTCTTTTAATGAGCATTTTGTAAACATTTCCACATTCTGACACTGGGGAGGGATAAGACAATTTTCTCTCCGCAAAGGCTCTGCTATCCTTTCTTTCATTTGACTTCCTTTTGGTAGGAATGCCTGTATTCTGGGCTTATGGGATTCGGTTTTGCACGTGTGTAGGGCAGATATTAAAAATCAACACAATGCTCATCAGAGGCGATGCATGTAGATTCAAATGACGGGGCTGACTTCAAGTCAAGTGGATATAAATGACTCAGAAACAAACTTTGAAGTATTTGCTTTTAGAAGCAGGGAAGACTGAGAGTCGCGGTCATTTTCCTACAGACTTGATCAGGCTGAAAGTAAAGCCAACGCCTGATTATAATGAGGTCTGGAGTGTGGCCCGGTGAGGAGCTTTGCAGACATCATCTAATGCGCTTCCTCTAATAACCCCGTTTTCATTCCTGTTGTGTGCATAGACTCCTGAAGTCCTGCAGCTGCCCAGATGTCACTGAACTGCGCAGTCATGTAGCCCCAGGTTAAGCCCAGGCCATCTGATTACTGTGGACCGGAAACTGCCCAACTTTGTAACCAAGATTTCACTAGACCAGGAATGGGTAGTAACAGCAACTAGACCCCAGCCCTGCCTTCTACCTGGTAGGCAACGAGAAGGCAGGTAGCTAGGTGTGGATTCAGGTCCTATGCTTGTGATACCTGATCTCAATACATACATGATACTGACCAAGATCTCTGCCAAGTTCACCTCCTAAGTCCAAAGCTCCAGCAGTTTGACATCAGTGTTACTAAACAGATAAAAAATGCCAAGCATCTTGGTAAGGTGGTGGTGGGGCTGGTATAATTGATTGTGTGTCCACTTTAGGAATAACAAGCCTGGCTAACCATACGGCCCACGCTAATTGGTGGCAGCAGGAGTCACGGTGCTGTCCTGGTGGCTCTGTAGCCAGCTCCAAGAAGTGATTTCCCACAGGGACAATTATAATGGAATCTCTTCTGCTTGCTCGGTATGTTCCTGTGCAGCTCTGCAGGCAGCCTTCGGTGCATTCTCCAACACTAGAACACTGTCTTTTCTTCTTGGTTAAGTTTTTCTGCTCTCTTTCTAATAGGCTAGCTGCAGTACCCCCCTTTACCACTTTCTCTGGTTCCCCAAAGTTCTAATCAGCTTTGACTCTTTCTCATCCTCCCTAGGTGTTTGCAGCATTCATTCTGAGCCATCTTCGGAAGAGTCTTCTTTAATACGACTCACTGTCTGCTTCTCTGGTAGTTGATTAAAATTTGGTGGTTTTTTTTTTTTTTTTTTTTTTTTTTTTTTTTTGACATGGTTTCTCTGTAGCTTTGGTGCCTGTCCCAGAACTAGCTCTTGTAGACCAGGCTGGCCTCGAACCCGAGATCCGCCTGCCTCTGCCTCCCGAGTGCTGGGATTAAAGGTGTGTGCCACCACCGCCTGGCTAAAATTTGGTGTTTTGACCAATTTTCTGCTTGTGTAGCAAAATGGAGACTGCAGATCGGAAATAGATTGTACCTGAGCAGGCCCACCAACGAGCGCATCCCAAAGCCATGGCCTACTCTACTGTGGTACATTCCAACACGGGGCTCCTGAACACATTACGGTAAGGCTCCTGTGCCATGCGCTGATCAGGACAAGCACCCGCTTATCTTTACACACACACATGTCGACACAAACCCCAAAAATCTGAATGGCAGGTGTGTACATGCAACTGCCACGGACATCAGAACAAATGGCTGCACTCCAGTCCCAGGGTGCACTAATATCAAAGGTTCAGGACAGACACCCCCCCCATACACACACACACACACACACACACACACACACACACTCAAAATTGAGCTCCTCACACCCCAGGAAGAAAAACGTGCCATGGAGAATTCACTGGTTTCCGTGTATGTACTTGGTGAGAGAGAAGCTAACCATCAACGTGTCTTTAGCTGGTTAATAGTTGTGCCAGGAAAATGGGCATAGTTCCATCCCCCTCGCTATACTACTGGATTCTAGACCACAGCTAGAGTGGCAGAATTGGGTTTCTAATTTTACCTCATTTTAACCATTGGCATTTTAATAGCTGCTCTTAGCTAGTGACTGTCATGTTGGGCAGTGTGGCCCTAGATTATATTCCATAAAAACAAACATAGGAATAGAGTTACTGGCTAGTAGGTAAGACTTCCAATTTAATACAACACCAGATTGTTTTCCTGAATAGGTTTCCCATGCTTCTTCCTAGCTGTCCTTGCCAGCATGTGTCTGTTGAATTGGGGGGTTTGGGATGAACTGAGTGTCTCTTGTCTCTGCGCACACCCACCAACCCTACCCTGAAACTCCCGAGAGATGGGAACTTGAAGAACGGAATTAAGAACAGCTGTGTAGATGCGGAAAAATTAGATGGGGGACTCGTGCTAAATGTTAACATCTATCGAAACTCAATGACATTCGTAACAATATCTTATTATAGGGATAGATCAAAATATAGAAAGAGCCTGGGAAAGGGTTCACAAATAAGGAAAGTTGGTTAAAAAAATCGCTGATTCCATGGCTCAATGAGGAAACAACAAACACTAAATAATAAGGGATCGCTTACTGAGATGTTGATTGTCCGAGCCGTTCTTTACACAGAAATCAAGTTCGGATGGATGGAGAGTTCTCACGAAAGAGGAAATCTGAACTTTAGGGAGGGCCCAGTGAGAGTGTCCCTTTCGTCCTCACATCTGCGGCCACTGCAACCACAGAGGAAATCAAGGACAGGAATGCTTTTCTGGCCAGCTTAGAAAACGAAGGAAAGGAAGGTCACGTTTAGAGAAAAAGGTACGCGTGAACGCCAAGCATCTGACCATGAGAATGCCCCTTGGAACAGTGAGTGGGGCACACTTTAAATCAAGCTGACTATGCTCACAGGCAGCCCGGAAAGGGGCAGCATTTAGATGTGACAAGAGATTACATCGCCTGCAGTTTAAGAAACATCTTTGTTGTTCTTAGAGCAAACACTCCATGTTTAAGTATGCTTTTTAAGTAAAAAATGCTAAAAATGCCCTCCGACCTAGGATATCCTGGGAGTGGACAGCCCGTCAATGTGCTCCTCACGCACTGGAGGTGTTTGACAGCTGCGCTAAGCAACAGTCCAGAGAGCAGTGGCAAGGATGCAAAGGCAGCCAGCGCGCTCTGCCACCACAGGAGATAAGTCAAGCCCTTTAACACCAGCGGCTGCTAAGGGCTTATTCCACACTCGGAGCGAGATAAGCTGCCCTTTATGCCTCGCAGCACACCCCAGTCAGGAAAGCAGCTCAGAGAAAATCCAAGTGAGGCAACGGGCACAGACAATCATTTCAGGGATGAAAATGAGCAAACTTCAAGTCGTTTTGGTTTTAGTTTCTCGAGTATCTGTCGAGAGCCTGTACTTCAGAATGACTGGCTTTTCGAAGCATGTCATCACCGCAGGGTCCGCACGGAGCCACCTGCCAGGCACCTTGCACTCACAATCCAAGCCCCAATGTCTAAAGTACAGTTTGTTTTCTCATTTTGCTGAAGCACCCAGAGTCCAAACAGTTAGATGAAGGGACTGGGTGACACGTGCTTAGAGAAGTTGGAGCCACACCCTTGCCACTAATCCCTCCTAATTCTCTCCACCGCTTTTATTAGGCTGGTAGTTCACAGAGTTGTTGTGACTATACACCTGAGTTAGATCCATTAGTGGTCTCCCTGTATTGTCTGCTAAGCTAATTTCCCTGAGACTTATGAACCCTCTGATGTTCTTGTATTTCCTCATTCAGATTCTATTTCAAGTGTACCATTTCCACTTAAGAGCAAGCCGAATATGAGTCTACTCCCCCACCCCCTTTTCTTTTCTTCCTTTCTTACAAAATGAAATCACGTCGTCCATAGAATTAAGTGTAAACAAGTTTTGGAAGAACAGTTCGCGTCTTGACTTAGAGAAAGCATCAGCAGGTCCCTGCCCGCAGAGCTACCAGGTCAAGGTGAGCCACACTCATTATTCCGGAAGGATGGAGACCTGTAAGAAAGGACCAGTAGGCCAGTCAGTGGATGCCAACGCCACAGCCTGAGGCCGTATCATCATTGAGGACATCACAAATTAATCCCGATTTCCCATTTCCACAATCTACAGGGGCAACAGTATTATTAAAAAGGGCAAGGCTCTGAGATCTGGAAGGAAAACGAAGGTCAACCTGGCGAGCTTCTAACCCTGCACAGGTAGAGAGAGAGAAGCAAGAGGGGAAAGAATGGGGCCTGTCTTGTCAGTGAGTGCCGAGCTCCTGTTGACTTGAACTGGACAAGGATCTGCAGGGAAGGTCTTAATTAAACCATGGCTGGTGCATCAAATCAAAGCTAAATGTGACTCATCTTCATTAACTACTGTGCATAAAGGAGAAAAATTTCCTGAAACTGTGGGCCACTATTGAAAAATTTTTATTTAAAGTGTCATTATGATGACAAATGCTTTGGTAGAACCAACTTCCTGGGGAAGAGAAAGTCACACTACCTCCAAGCAATTTTTCCCCTTCCCCCAAAGTTGAGACTGTTAGGCTCAGAGTCTGCTCTAATGTGGTTTGTGAGGCAATCGCTCTGATTATGAAATCCTAATGAGCCAGAGTGAGTGCAGACAGGCGACGAGCTGGATTTCAGACAGGGGTCTTCAATAACCTGATTTTGATCCAACTTATATTGTGTGTCCCCAGAGGATCAAAATCACGTATACGATTCTCCACAAGTGCTCCCAAATTATCACCAAATGATCTCTCATGGCTGTTTAAGACTCGTCGTTAATTATTCCCG